TACTTAATCTCCTCCGCAAACGGAATTGCCTCACCAAGAAGAATGGGCGGTTTCAGATTGTCTATCTTCCTTCTTCTGGTGAATGTTATGGTGTGATGGTATGATCACGGTTTTCGGTTGGTTTACACTTAATTGTTCTAGTGTGCACCAGCCATGAATTGCATCTAGGACTTCCTGTATTTTTGAGGAGATGTCCTCCTCTTTTTGTCCTTTTACTAGGATTACCAGGTCGTCCGCATATGCTTGTGCTTCAACCTCGTATGCATCGATGATTGCCATCAGGTCGTCTTGCATTTTGAGCCAGACTTGCCCTAAAAATTCTTAATAAGCGAGGGACGATAACGTTCTCAGCCTTCTGCAATAAGGCCGGAAATACCCCGTCCTCTCCTGGAGAGTTAAATGGGTCGAAACTTTCGATCGCCCCTTTAGTCTCCCTAGAGGTGATTACTTTCTTCGCTATCTTCCAATCCTCTTTTTTGGGCCTAATTCTAATTTTGAGCTGCCAAATGAGCTAGATGCTTTACCTAGACCGTTATTCAGAAGCTACAAACCTATCGATGAAAATAAGCATGAAAATTTACTTCGTTGCATACTGTAAGAGGATATTGGTACACAACAGCTGTATCAAGTTTATTATAATTATTTTATTTGTAAAGTAAGGCTGAAAGATATATAATATAATCTTAGTAACATATAATTTTTATTTATTTATTAATATCTCTGAAACTATCGAAATATATTTACTCATTAAGCATTCTTAGGATTATGTAAAGTGATCTGAAAAGAAGCCAAAAATGCGATAATATGCAGGGTGTTATCATTTTAAAAAAATCATCCAGGCCCCCTCACACTTCTTTGAGCCACCCTATAGAAGTTAAAATATTTTCCTGAAATACATCCTAGTACATACTTTAGGTTTGCACAAAATTCCAAAGTTTTTTGTTCTAGGAGTTACAGATGCCCGACGCACTATTGCCGGACTCTGTATACGTGATTGTAAATAAAATATTAATACCCTTTTTAGCCAACAAACATTTTTTATTGTAATACGATTAAAGAATGTAATAACGAAAGCAAAAGTTATTTTTAATATCAATAATGTTTTAATTAAAAAACAAGTATTTTTCGACTCCGCACAGCTTTAATTTTGATATTCCGGGCAGAGAGGCATCGGCATATCAAAATCCGGAGCGAGACGCCCTCGGTGACCGGAGGGGACATAATTCCGGACCGGACAAATGGGATTAGCGGCGGCCACGTTGCCATATTTAATCATCCTAATAATCCGGGACTAATGCCAAAAAAGGGGGAACAGGGGCGCGTGGGCGACAGTCGGCACTGAATGAATTTCGCAATAACAAACATCATTAGAACTTGAGAAATTAGTCTGTTTGTGTGTTTACTGGCGATTAATTAATTATGGTGGGGAACGGAGAGAAGAAGGGGGAGATAGTATTATTTATCTTGATAACTGTTGAGAATATTGATGCAATTTGTCAGTAAAGAAGGGGTGATTTCTATTACTGTTTACTGTTACTCTAGTTGGTCAAAGAAGGCATAACCTCTGTCCAACGACAAAATCGTTGACAGTGATAGATGTGTTTGTCATTTAATTTCAAAAGAGTTTATTTTATTTTACAAAGAAATAAGCTGGTAAATTTAGAACGCATAGTAGAAAATTAATATATTTAAAATTTGAATGATAAGTGATACTTACTTCAAAATGTTGTGATAAAAAACTGTATAAAACCGAAAAAATTTGATGGAGATATTTTATTAAAAAAAAATTACGGTATGTGTTAATACAAAACAAGCAGCAAGGTGTTTTGTTTAAAACACCTTGGCTCTGATATTCAATGGAGAATTCATGTCTCTTCAAATACCATTCTAGAAATTCATTTATCCAGTAGTAGTTATAAAAAGCATTTTTGGTAAACTCTGTCTCAAATAGTTTCTGAAAAAAAATTAGTTTTTTTAAAAGGTCCGATTAAATTTATATCTCCGAAACTAAAGTTTCAAAAAAAGTCATACTATACTAGAAATTCATTTACCCAGTAGTAGTTATAAAAAACATTTTTGGTAAACTCTGGCTCAAATAGTTTCTGAAAAAAAAAATATATTTTTTTTAAAGGTCCGATTAAATTTATATCTCCGAAAGTTTCAAAAAAAGTCATACTATACTTTATTAAGGTTGTCTACCCCTCAAAGAAAGATTTTCCTAGATGTTTTCATTTACATGAATTGATCTGAGTAGATCTTTATTATTTGATAAAATCTAGGTGGCTGTGATATGTCTGACGTTACTTCAACATAGCTGTCTAATTCGTCCAACTTTTATCATTCTGTGTCAGTTAAAACAACAAAAAATTCTCAGAAATTTACCGAAAATGCTAACTTATCCTAAATCAGAGAGAATTGATATGATTCTATTAGTTGGTGAATGCAGTGTGCATCACCAATTAATAAAATACTTAAATGCTCCTGATTTTATCTAGTCTGGTTTTTTTATGGGATATGTTAAACCATTGTAGACAACAGGAGAGAAATTATTGTAGCTGCTTTTTGAGGTAGAACGTTTATTTTTTGCCTTTTAAAATGAAAAGATCCTTTTGTAAAGACAATCATTATATGCTTAACAGGAAAGGAAGCATTTAGAGCATTTGATTTCATCTAGCTAATTTTTGTCACATTTGTCTAGTTTTAAATCTGTAGCAATTAAAATATGTGTTTTAAAAGTATATCTTTTTATTACCCTTGAGTATTTTACTCTACAATCTTTAATTTTTGTTAAATTAGTAAAAGGTAAATCACACAGCCACCCTAAATTTTCCCGGATCTACCGACGCAAAATCATAAAAATTAAAATATCTAGGAAAATATTTGTCTGGGGGGTAGGCAACCTTAATAATATTTTGAAGATAATATAAATTCCCCATTGAACACCGAAAAAATATATTGGGTGTTCCATTTAATATAAAAGAGTAACTTTCAAGCTCAAGTAATTTCTTTTATTTATTATTACATTTATCAATAGAACTTATGTACAAATAAACGTAAATTTAAAAAAATTAAATTTAACATAAATAAAACAAAATATTTTTTTAATAATAAAACTTACTGAATTTTATACCTTAAAAGTTGGTTAATTAACTTTAATCTTAATTTGTTTAAACCAGTACCTTTTGACCATCATCTCTCTGCAGTACTAAATTTTATTATTTACCTATCGTGCGATGTTGTTTTACAGATACTCTATTATATGTATACAGGGTGGCGCACCTCATTCGCCTCGGTTGATTATACGAAAACGGAAAGATGTAGAAACTAAATATTTTATAGGTATATATGGGAAGGCAGTGTACATAATTTAAAATTATTTTCAAATGTACAGGGGGTTTTTATTTCAAATGAGAGGGTTATATTTATTCTTATGGAACATCCGGTATTTTATTCATTTCTGGATTCTTGGACATAAAATAAAGTATTTATTATAAGGGTTTATTATGTTTAAAAGCTTTGGTTTTTGACATATTTAAATATGTATGCTATAATAAAAAAGTTTAATGAGTTAATAATTGTACTGACTTAGAAACCAGAGAAAAAAACTTTATTAAAAAATTTTATTGTTTTCTTAAATTTATACAGGGTTATCAAAAATTGCTGGTCTATTTTAAATATTTATTTTTTACACAAAAACTTCGTTATTTCAAATGCAATACTATATATATTTTTTAAATAAGTCGAAGCAGATTTAAATGCTCTTCAAACTATATTAGGATTTCCTATACCTATCTGGCTCAGATTTTGAATAAACAGCGATTTTTCAATAAAACTTTATTAAGACGGCTGATGTCGCCAATTTTCTAGTGACACTTAATATCTATTTTCAAAATCAACATTAGTGTATGGACTTTATTTAAATGTATAACAAGTTATTTTTGTTTAATTTACCTACAATAATGTTAATAAGTAAGTATTTAGTATTTTATCAAGAAAAATGAAGCAGTATCTGCTGGCGGAAGGAATGGATATAATTACTAGTGATTTTATTTTGTGGGGACAATTGCTTATTGGCCTGAAGATATATGTGCTCAAAGATATCTCCAAATAGGAATTTTCTTGACAAGCGTTCCTTTGAAAAACCTACCTTTTTTTCCTACCTTCCCTATTTCGCAGAGCTAATGAGTGTGGTATATGAAAAACCCATCAGGCAGAAACCTGTCATTGGAAGTGAAGAGAATGAATTTGCTTTAATTGGTTCTTTTATAGAAAATCCAATATGTAGATATATTGGTTTCATCGTAATATAAATCAGAAAGAACTACTTCTTTATTTTTCTTGATAAAATAATAAATAATTACTTATTAAACTATTGTAGGTAAATTAAATAAAAGTAAACTGTTATAAATTTAAACAAAGTCCATAAAATAATGTCGATTTTGAAAATATTTACTAACCATGTCTAGCAAATTGCCATGGCGACACTAGCCATCTTGGTTGCCATTTTATTGAAAAATCGCTTTTTATTCAAAACCTGGGCCAGATAGGTATAGGAAACCCTAATAAAGTTTGAAAGAGCATTTAAATCTGCTTCGACTTATTTAAAGTAATTATTCGACTTATTTAAAGTAATTATTTAAAGTATTTGAAGTAACGCAGTTTTTATGTAAAATAAATATTTAAAATAGAGCAGCAATTTTTGATACCCCTGTATACATTTAAGAAAGCAATAACATTTTTTTGTAAAATTTATTTCTCTGACTTCTAAGTCAGCATAAGAACAAACTCTGAAAAATAAAGTACAGTGTGTTGACAAACATTTTTATTATAGCATGCATATTTAAATATCTTTAAATATCTCAGTTATCAAAGCATTTAAACATCGATGGTTAAAGTGCAAAACCTCGTAAGTCGATTTTTTTCCGTATAACATTTTATTTAATAAACATTTACAAAATATCATATTCTTTAAGGTTACAAGAGCTCGTAAGTCAATTATTCATTTTAGGAACCCCTGGCGCCATCTGTCAAAATCTCGTAAAATTAATTTTCTATATAGTTATGCAGAAATCTCTTAATTCGACTTACGAGGTTTTGATATTTAACAATTTAACATATTTACGCAAAGTCAGGCAAACTTACGAGGTTTTTAATGTCACACAATGACATGCGGTAGAGTTATTTTTAACCTCAAAAATTATTGTTTCATCATTGCTTTTTGATGTATTATGTCGTTTTGTTTGATTAGTTTGACGATTAAATAAATAATGTGTACACGTGGCAAATTTCTGGTAGGGCTATGCCTAGAAACTAGTGTGGAAACATCCAAAACGACCGAAAAAAAGTAAGTAATAGTATTAAGTATACAAAACCCATTTATAGTTTATTAATTATAAGGGTATGACTTTATTTTAAGTATCTACATTTTAGTGAAACTAGGCCTAGTGTTATAAATGATGCAATATCTGAAACTCATTTAGAAAAAATACAAGATGATGCAATTTTAATTAGACGGGATCCAAACTTAAATAATTATGTTGCTAATATGCAGCCTGCTACTCTTCCAAAAAATACATTGGTTGGTCTTAACACTATAGAAAAGGATAAAGGGTAAGATAGGAACGTGTAATATTAAAAATCTGGTATATTATTATTCATGTTTGATTACTACTTTTAGTACTTTTGTTATTTTAGTGAAAAGCCATGCATGCAATTTAACTTATTGCAAGACGAATCTTCTGTAGTTGTGGATAGCATGTCATTACCAACAGAAGAATGCCTAGAGCTTAAGCAATCAACCCTGATGTCAAGCATTAATATTCTGAATTCACAAAAAAGTAGCCTTAGTGATGATGGCTCGGATGATGGTGTACGAAGTGATAAAAGTGAACCGTTTCAAAACAGTGGATCTGAGTATGTGCCTTCAAATCATTCTGAACAGAACGAGTCTGAGGAAGAATCTGAAGAAGTTGTACTAGCTAATGTTAGAAATGATGAGTTAGAAACACCAAGAGGTAGAAAGAGAACCAGATCAAAAGGAAAATTAGCAAAAAATAATGCTTTAAATAGTGAGAGAAATAAAAATAAACATAAAAGAATGAAGGGCGAAAATTATGTCGCATTTAAATTTGTAAAGAAAGAAAAAACTTATAAACAAGTCCAAAGAGGAGAAAGAAAGATGGGACCTGCCTGCAAATGTAAACTATCTACAACCTCTCGCCAATTTTTTTGTCAAGCCTTTACAGAACCAGAGAGGAAAGCCATATTTGATAATTTTTGGAAGAATCTAACCTGGGGCGAGAAGAAAGTCTACATAGGAGGACTTGTAGATACAGCTACTCCAAAATGTCATCGGACAGGTAATAATATTCATCCTTACCTATTTCTCTTCCTATCAACAGTTTTTTTTTAGATATACAGGGAAAACAAAGACAGGTTGCATACAAATTTTACCTCAAGAAAGGAAATGATGTACGGAAACGAGTGTGCAAAAAAATGTTTATGGAGACGCTCTGCATAAGAGAATGGAGCATCAAAAGTTGGGTTAGTCAGAATATTACTGATGAAAATATACCACCTAGCAATAAACAGTCAACGATTCCAAAACCAGCTGAAAACCTTCGAAGAAACAAACAACCCTCAAAGGATAAAGAGTATCTTATTAGGTTCCTTCGAACCCTTCCACAAATGGAAAGCCATTATTGTAGGAAAGATACTACTAAATTGTACCTAGAATCACAATGGCAGAACCTAAATGAGTTATACCGGTTCTACTGTGCCGAATGCTCCAGTCAGAATTTTCAAGCAATAAATCACACTACTTTTCGAGAGGAGTTCAAAAATCTGAACCTTTCACTATACAGGCCAAAGTAAAATTAAGAATCTTACAATCTATTACTTATATCTAATTATTTTTGTAATTATAGGAAAGATCAGTGTGATACTTGCACTGGTTATTCTGTTGGCACCATAAAAGAAGAACAATACTCACTGCACATAAATAGAAAAAAAATGGCTCGTGCTGAAAAAGAATCCCAGAAGAATCAGGCCACAAATGACCCAAGCAGATTGTTATTTTCAATGGATGTGCAATCAGTATTGACAGCGCCTAAGTTACAGGTGTCAGCATCATATTATAAAATGAAGCTAACGGTACATAACTTCACTTTCTTTAATATGGTATCAGGCAAGGGCGATTGTTATATTTGGCACGAGGCTGCTGGAGGTGTCACTTCTAATGAATTCACGTCAATTGTTATTGATTACATTAAGAGGTACACGACAAAAGAAACTAAATCTGTCATTATCTTTAGTGATGGATGTGGGTACCAAAACCGAAATGTTACCTTATCTAACGCTATATCGGCTTTGGCTAAGACAAAAGACTTTGAAATATATCAACATTACCTCGAAAAAGGATACACGCAGATGGAGTGTGACTCCATCCACGCCTGCATAGAAAAGAAATTAAAAAATCGGGAGATTTATGTGCCCGGGTGTTATGTGCAAATAGCAAAAACTGCTAAAATTAAAAATAAGTACGAAGTTCATTATCTTTCTCACACTTTCTTTAAAAAATATTCCGTTTTAAATTCCTACATTTCTATTCGGCCAGGCAATAGGACTCATGATCCAAAAGTGACGGATCTAAGATGCTTAGCATATCGGGTTGATGGCACCATTGAGTTTAAAATAACTTATGAAGATGCTTGGACTCCACTAACAAGACGTAAGCAAAAAAATGAAGACATTGATATTATGATGGTTTCGTCGTTGTATTCTGCACCACTAAAAATTAAACCTGATAAGTTTCAACACCTCCAGGAATTAAAACAGTTTATCCCGGAGGACTACAGGTCATTTTATGACAGCCTTATTAGTCAAGAAAAATAATAACCTAAGATCAGTTTCATCATAGTTAAGAAAAAAAAATTGTTTTCATAATATTAAAACTATAGGATTTTGTTACGTAGGTACTAGTTTTTTAATTTTGTATTCTCTGAATAAACAGCTTTGGTAAATTATGTCTTTGTATTTATTTACTCAACATATTTAATTAATTTGGTTAACATATTGATTTTGAGAATTGATATTTCGTTACAAAACCCCTTAAGTTTTTGAAAAAATTTTAAGAAATGTAAGTCAAAACCACGTAAGTAGATTCATTTTTTAAAAAACAAGAATTTTAAAAATGCATTTATATCCGCAGAAAATGCTTCAGTAATCACATTCTTTTAATTAGAATAGTTTTTCAATTTTCTCACTTAAAAGTGTTTAACCGTTTTTCGCTTCTCCTATAAAATTTATAAAAATCGAGTTATGAGGTTATGCACTTTAACCATCGACATATTAAACCCTTATAATAAATGCCTTATTTTATGCCCAAGAATCCAAAAATGAAATAAAATACCGGGTGTTCCATAAGAAAAAATATAACTTTGATATGGATCTTAGTTCTGATACACCCTGTACATTTAAAAATAATTTTAAATTATACATATTGCCTCTCTACATATACCCATAAAAAGTTTTGTTTCTACATCTTTCCGTTTTCGTATAATCAACCGAGGCGTATGAGGGGCGCCACCCTGTATAATACTAGATACAGATACTCTATATCTTTTACTATTTACAGATAATATTTTTTTTTATAAAACAAAGCGTCTTAATATTGAAGGAATTGACACAGGCAATTAAAAATATTACAATACTAAAGTTTTAATAAAAAAAAATACATTAAATTTTTTGTTTTAAAATATCCTCTTTTTTCATCAAGAGACAAAAATTACAATTTTTTCTCACGTATTTTCTTAAAAGTTTCTTTTTTATTTTTATTCCTCAAAGAATATAAACACTATCTATTTAAACTCTTTGGTACATGAACAGCGAATTAAATGAATTACTATTCCAAGCACGAAGCCCCGCTCTTAAACATGAAAGATTAAACGAGAATTTTGCGTTTTAGAAATAAGAACATTCGGTAGCAAAATTCTGCCAGATTTTTTGAAATAAACTGTGTTTCAGGGTGAAAATTAATTAAAAGATTTCATAAATCTAGTCGCTATGTAAAATTAACAACCACTATAGTTAATTGTATTTAAAATTACCAGTCCCAGTATCGTATGTTCGAAAAAAAACCGGCGTCAAAGACGGATGGGGCATGAAAATCTCTGATAATTTTGGCGAGGTCAATCTCTAGACGTTATTTACTAAAAAGTGACATGAAAGTTGTCACAAATTATTACTAACTATACACAGATTAAAAACGGATAGAACGTTTCCAGACATACAAATCTATTTCCAATTTTTTTTCTTTAATTTTAAACTACACCATTTAAAAATAATATTTACTCAATTTAAAAAAAATTACAATCTTCCTTAAGGCCAACTTGCAGAAAGCACCATTAAAAAATAAAAAAGAGTACGGATCAAGCATATAATTAAGCTTCACCTCGTCAAAATTAACATCGATTGTAGGTTACTAAAAGTTAAAAAAACGCATGACGCGTTTATTCAAAAATTATTATTAGTAAACATAATTAATAAAATAATATTTAGGCCAATAAGCGAGGATAAAATTAGGGTATTACCTCCGAATTCTTGACTCCGATTGACGTGAAATTTTAACAGTGAATAGAGATATATGTAAGAAACAAAAATTACAGTAGCGATATGTGCTATCACCCTGGGGTGAAAATTAAATCACCCATTTTAATTGCAAAATCAAAAAATAATTTTTTCAGAAGATTATTTTTGGAACTTTAGTTTCGGAGATATTCATTTAATCGGACATTTTTAAAAAAAATAATTTTATTTTTCAGAAACTATTAGAGACAGAGTTTACCAAAAATGCTTTTTATAACTACTAGCGGGTAAATTAATTTCTAGATATATTACGAATTTTTTCGGAACTTTACTTTCGGAGATACACATTTAATCGGACCTTTTTAAATAAAATAATTTTATTTTTCAGAAACTATTAGGGACAGAGTTTACCAAAAATGCTTTTTATAACTACTAGTGGGTAAATGAATTTGTAGATATATTACGAATTTTTTCGGAACTTTACTTTCGGAGATATACATTTAATCGGACATTTTTAAGAAAATTTATTTTATTTTTTGGAAACTATTAGAGACAGAGTTTACCAAAAATGCTTTTTATAACTACTAGTGGGTAAATGAATTTCTAGATATATTACGATTTTTTTTGGAACTTTAGTTTCGGAGATAAAAATTTAATCGGACCTTTTTAAAAAAATTAATTTTATTTTTCAGAAACTATTTGAGACAGAGTTTACCAAAAATGCTTTTTATATCTACTAGTGGGTAAATGATTTTAATTAGAATTGAAAATGTTGATTTTTCATCTAAAAACTCTATATTTTTCTGCCATTTTTTATAAATAACTCGAAAACCTTGAGTTTTATCGCAAAACTCACGTAAAGCAAAAATGAAACTCTCGGAATAACGAATCTACTCATTTTTTGTTTATTACCGTATAATAATAGCCAAGTCATCACTCTGTAAATGTGATTTTTTATTTTTCGAAAACTAAATTGCAACCTTTTTTAAAAAATACCGTAAAATAATGGCGAAAGAACACATTTTCGGAAGGAAATGAATATGACCATTTTTAAAGTGCTTGAAAAGACATTTTAAATGCTTTTTTAAAGGTCTTTTCAAGTTCGTAGCTCAAGAACTCGCGGAGATAAAACACACATAACATAGGACACCTCATTTTTTCGGAAAAAATGTAACAACAAAATCTATGACTAAAATCATAAAAATAAAAACTATCAATTTGTAGGAAATTACACGAGTATAAATTAACCTCTATACAGGGTCCGGCAATAGTGCGTCGGGCATCTGTAGCTCCTAGAATAAAAAACTTGGGAATTTTGTTTAAGTGCAAACCTAAAGTATGTATCAGGATGTATTTCAGGAAAATATTTTAACTTCTATAGGGTGGCTCAAAAAAGTGTGAGCGGACCTGGATGATTTTTTTTAAATAAAACACCCTGTATATTATTGCATTTTTGGCTTTCTTTCAGATCACTTTACATAACCCTAAGATATAAATTGATATATTTCCATAGTTTCAAAGATATTAAAAAATAAATCAAAAATATATATTTTTCAGCCTTTCTTAAAAAAATTATTAAAAATACAAGAACTGTTCTGAAATCAAAACGATATTAGGTATTTACTTTAGATGGTCTGTTCTTATTTTGCTATAAATATGGTAATCGTAATTCATACAGGATGTTCAATATTCTACGCCAAACTTTCTAAAATATAAAATATTTTTTCTTTGTTTTTTTAAATGGAACACCCTGTATATTATTTTTTTATTAGATGGAGAGTTTAAAAATGAACATTTTTTGTATTTAGAGTATTTCAAAATTTTTAACGGTTTCGCAGATACACGCAGTATTATTTCATATGGCGCTCTCAATGCTAAAATACGAGAGAAAAATTATTGGGTGGCTTTGATAAAAATTTACCGTGGAAAATGCCATATGAAACATAAAACCGCAAATATCTACGAAACCGTTAAAAATTTTGAAATACTCTAAATACAAAAATGTTCATTTTTTAATTCTCCGTCTATTGAAAAAATAATATACATGGTGTTCCATTTAAAAAAACGAAGAAAAATTATTTTATATTTTAGAAAGTTTAGCGTAGAATTTTGAACATCCTGTATAATTTACGATTTTCATATTTATAGCAAAGTAAGTACAGACCATCTAAAGTAAATATTTAATATAGTTTTGTTTTTAGAACAGTTCTTGTATTTTTAATAATTTTTTTAAGAAGGGCTGAAAAAAATATATTTTCGATTTATTTTTTAATATCTCCGAAACTATCAAAATGTATTTATTCATATCTTAGAGTTATGTAAAGTGATCGGAAAGCCAAAAATGTAATAATATACAGGGTGTTCCATTTAAAAAAAATCATCCAGGGCCACTCACACTTTTTTGAGCCACTCTATAGAAGTTAAAATATTTTCCTGAAATACATCCTGGTACATACTTCAGGTATGCACTTAAACAAAATTCTCAAGTTGTTTATTCTAGGAGCTACAGATGCCCGACGCACTATTGCCGGACCCTGTATAGTGCAACGACTGTTAGAGCATTAAATTTTTTTTTTAAATTATTTTTTTCCATTATTTTCAACTTTTTTCCAAATTTAGGCATTCTAAACTGCTCGAACTTGTAGAGCCCATTGTTAGTACATAAATATAGTCAACTGTACAGGGTGGGTCAAATTCGACGCTTTTAAAGCGAAACACTCTTTTCTATAGAAGATAGACGAAAACTAATATCGGTGTCTGGAGCTCAATTTTTATCAAAAACATGATGGTGAAAACCGCACATCAATATCTGTTACCGTTTATGAGTTACGGGGTGTTTTTCAAAAATGTGCATTTTTAACAAAAAGCTGCAACTTTTTTGCTATGGAAAATTTTGTATTTTTATGAAAACATTTCCAAAGCACCTTTTTACGTAGAATTTAATGGTTTAAGTATAATTTTTTTAAAATTAATAATTTACGAGTTATTAACAGAAAAGTTGATTTTTTTTATTTGGGACACCCTGTATATTTTTAATTAAATGGAAATACCTTAAAATTACCTTTCCAAAAATATAGCACACTTGATATATTGTTATAGTCTCCTTCGAAATACAGAATTTTTAAAAGTTCACCACTTTTAACTAGTAGGCTTTGGACTCCTTATTGATGAGAATGCCCCTAAAATATAACTAGAAAACATATTTTCCCAGCAAGACAAGGCACCGCCTCAGATCGCTGAAGTTATTAAAAAAAAATTGCAGCCAATTTAGAGAATAACTGAATAGCTAACCAAGATCTCAGTCGTTGGCCATTGAGGCCGCCGGACTTAGTGCCTATGGATTTTTTTTCTTTGCGGAAGAATAAAGGTTCTTATTTTTAAATTGCCCGTATAATCTAGACACGAATCAGAAGTACTTAGCGATTATGCGAGGTTATCT